GAGCTCCACCTTGGCAGCCCTGAAAACTGCCCCCAAGGAGAAGCCCCCCGCCACCATCGATGGGCTGTGCCCCCTGAGCAAGGCACCGGGCGCCCGGGTGAGAGCAGGGCTGGGGTACCCAGGGGGGCTGGGATAGGGGATGTGGGCAGGAGGGATGGAGGAGTCCTAGGGCAGCCCTGATGCAGGGGCAGCCCCAATTTTCCTTGCAGACCCCCCTGCATCCCTGCTGGGACAGCTCTGCACCTGCTCCCATTCCCAAACACTGCCCAGGTGCCAGCCCAGGCCATGCCACTTGCTGTAGGTCTATGAGGACTATGACTGCACCCTGAACCAGACCAACATCAGTGCCAACAACAACAAGTTCTACATCATTCAGCTCCTTGAGCACGATGGTGCTTACAGTGTCTGGAACCGCTGGGGCCGTGTGGTGAGTCCACCCCAGCACCGCTTGTCCCTCCACCACAGCTGTCTACACCCTGCGTTGGGACCCCCAAGGGTCGAGGATGACACTGGTGGACCCCATCCCTTGTTCCTGCTCCCAGAGCAAGCCACCAAGTGGCCCTGCTATAGCTCCTTGTTGGGGAGGGCTTCAAGGACTGGTCATCTCACAAATGGGGTCAGCCTGGCTGGGGGACATGGCACATGTCACTGTGGTGACAGTGAATGTGACACCCTGGCAAGGAGCCCTGGGGTGTCTCCCTGAGCTGGAGAGACCCCCAGACTCAATGCTAGTGCCTCCACACGTTCCTGCCCCTCCCATTGTAGCCCCCCCTGCTCCCAGGCTGCTCCCCCCAGCATGGGGCTGATGGAGTAGGGATGCGAGGGGGGCCCTGACCGCTGCCATCCACTGTCAGGGGGAGGTGGGCCAGTCCAAGCTCGTGCCCTCTGCCTCCCTGGAGGCTGCCAAGAAGGACTTTGAGAAGAAGTTTCGGGAGAAGACCAAGAACAGCTGGGCGACAAGGGAGAACTTCGTTGCCCAACCTGGGAAGTACACGCTCATCGAGGTGCAGCCAGGGGCCGAGCAGGAGGTGGAGGTTGCCCTCAGGGTGAGTGTGCTGGGCAGCCGGGGTGTCATTGCAGTGGGATGGTCCTCACATCCCACCCCTGGCCCACTGGGCACCAGGACATCCAGGCAGGTCAGCAGGATGGGGTCGATTTAGGGAAGGGTCTGGATGAAAGTTGAAACAGCCTATGGGCAGAGGTTTGGGGCTAATGGGTTGAGATGGAGTGAGCACCATGGGCATCTGGGTGGCACAGGTCATGGAAAGCAGAGGCAGCATCTGCTGTCACTCTGCTGCCCGGGGTCCAGGCTCTCTCCACTGAGACGGGCAGCCCCAGTGCTGTGCCCCCACAGCCTGCCGTGGGCTCGCAAGCGGCACAGTGATGTCGGGGGTCTGCAGGTGGATGGCGTGGACGGGGACAAGGTCTGCAAGCAGCGGGTGCTGCCCTGCACCTTGGACAAAGCCACACAGGACCTGGTGTCCCTCATCTTCAGCAGCGACATGTTCCGGGATGCCATGCAGACCATGAATATTGGTAGGAGGTGATGGGTGGCATGGGGTGGGTCTGGGGGCTGTGGCCAGGGGGTGCAGTTGGGGAGGTGAATGGGGCAGAGGTGCCAGTGGATTTTAGAGCATCCCTGCTGACAGCCCGGCACCTGGTGAGACTGTGGACTCCTCATGCTGGGTGCCCACTTGTGCCCATGGTGATGCAGGAGGTTCTTGGAAGTAGCTGTGGGACAAGTGGGGTGAATGGGATCACACATGCCCTCCCCTGTCCCCCCGGCCAGATGTGAAGAAGATGCCTCTGGGGAAGCTGAGCAAGCAGCAGATTGCAAGGGGCTTTGAGGCGCTGGATGAGCTGGAGGCTGCACTGCAGGAGCAGCCCCCCCAGGCCGCCCGCCTGGAGGACCTCTCCTCCCGCTTCTACACCATCGTCCCCCATAACTTCGGGCGGGCACGGCCACCCCCCATCAACTCCCCCGACCTGCTGCGTGCCAAGAAGGACATGCTGTTGGTGAGATGCCAGGGCACTGGGTGGGTGGCAT